GTTAGGTCTAAGATTTGAACCTTGGACTGATGCCAAAGGGTTTAGAACACTACTTTCCTCATGTTTTGTTTTGTTTGTAAAGAAAGGTTTTTAGAGTCATCCTTTTTTTTTTGTCTCTCTGCAATCATAACCCTAAGAGAGATTCTTCAGATGCTCTGACACACCTACATTGGATTTTAACTACAGTGGCCTGCTTAGGACAAATTACTGTCATCTTGGGGACTAAGAATGTTTGTTGTTGTCATCATACAGTCTTGGTTTCAAAACCTGGCTATACCACTTAACTGCTCTGTGATCCTAAGCACATGGCTGAATATCTTTCTGAGCTTCCATTTCTTGATTTGTACAATGGGGCTATTGATACTTTGGTAGGACTTTGGGGAGAAATAAGTGCCTAGCACAATGTTAGCTACTGTTAGGAAATGCCCTCCACTTTCTCCAGGCCTGCGTCCTTGAAAAGATCCTGCTGTGCCTCCAGAGCAGGCCTCTTCTCATTCTTGCAGCTTTGGGAAGGTGTGTGTGTATTGCCTGGTACAGAAAGGACGTCAGGTTATCTGGTGGTCCCCTTTGCCCCCATAATTTCTCATCCAAATGGACAGGAATGGGCATACAAAACTTGGAGCTTAGTGTTTGATGCTTACAGTAAAGGTTGGTTAATTAGGACTCTTAACAGGAAGTCTTAAGTGACTTTTCCCCCCCGCCCCTGTTCCCATTCCTCTTTAAGAAAAAAGAAGCTAAAAGACTAGAAGAGTTAGAGTTTATTATTGGAGAGCTCCCCTTCAAGGGGCTACTCCATGGTTGGAAGATACTCTGCTCCCTGCACACCCCACCAGTCTGCCAAAATCTAGCTTGCCTACCTCTCCATTGTATCTCCTGGAGCCTGGCACAGTTTTTCAGTAAACGTATGTTAGAGGAATGAAGATACAGCCTAGGCTGTAGCTAGACTGGGCTATTGTTGTTTTCTAGACATGCTCTGCATTTTCCTGCTTCCATGCTGTCATTTATACCTGGAGTGCCTCTCCCAGTCGTGGCCCTGTGGACTTGGTGTTGGAGTTGTTGGTGCCTTGTCTTATGCCTCTTATAAGCCAGTAGGCTCCTTGTAGGCATCAGTTCTGCTTTCTTCATTTTTGAAGAAACACTGCATCTGGCACATTATACACTAATGGTTATCCAACATTTGCAGTCATCTCAGCAGATGTGAGTTACTTCTATTTGCTTATTTAATGCACACACACCTTTATGAAACAGGAACTCTTATTAGCCCCACTTAACAGGTGAGAAAACTGTAGTCTTAGGAAATTGAATATCATATCCCTAGACAGTTTGTTGAACTTGATGGAATTAAAGTGGGTCTCTAAGACCTTTGGGGTCCACAGCCTTATCCACAGGACCTGCAGTCCCAAGGGATGTCCCTGATGGAGTGGAAACGCTTCTCTGTTGGAGAGCAGTGCTGCCCATAGAACTGGACTTTGTGAAGCAGGAGCATGGGCTGATACAATACTCATCCTTCCTTTCTAAAGTTTCTTAAAGATCTCAAAATGGACTCATCAGTATACATAATGGACTCAGTATAGATCTCTGAGCTTCAAAACAAGCTTGAGACCTAGGTCAGTTATTACAGTCCAACTTTATGGATGATGAAGCTGAAGGTTGGAAAGAAGGGACTATTAAGAGGTGGAGTTAGGACACAAACCCAGGCATTCTCACTCTTAGCCAAGGGTCTTGACTCCATTCTCCTCTAATGCAGCAAAGCAAACAGCGAATCCACAAACAAACAAGTGTTAAAGCTAGTGGATTCTCAGGGAGGTGTCTTCTGGGAGCAGAGGTGTTCCTTTCTGGGAAGCGGCTGGGGAGAGGGCTGACTTGAATATAAAGTCTTCTGGGGAACTTGTGTCTCCCAGGAAATCAAGTTGGCCAGAGCATCCTGTTCCTGCTTTTCTATCTTGTTGAGTGTTGCTAATAGAAAGGGGGCTCTGGGGGGTGGGGGGTTGAGCTGTTCAGACAGCAGGGGGAGGGAAGAAGGAGTTTCCCTCTTTGTTCCCTTTCTCTTTGTTTCCCTGCTCATGCCCTGCAAATCTCCTTGGTCCCAGAGTGGTAGTCCTGGGTGGGAAGCTGCTGCCTCTCCCTACCAGCTGGTGCTTCCTGGGAGGAATTCTGGAGGGATTTCAGTGGGAGGTCCCAGATGGGCAGAGCAGCAGAAAGAAGGGACCTTTAGAAAGAAGGGATCTAGATGGAAATTCTTTAGTGCCCCAGAGGTTAAGAGATGGGGAAGTGTGGGTTCCTTGACTGATCTTTGAGAATTTCTGGTTTGTTCACCAGGCCACTTAGAATACATACCACTATACTTTGTCTTCCTTTGCAAAATCCACACCCATCTATGTTTGGCTTTATGAACTTTGTGGAAGGACTTTTCACACCCCAGATTTTAACTTCTTACCTCCTCCTGTTCTCTTCATTCTTTTCCCTCCTCCAAATGTCAGGTTATTGGTCAGCCAAAAAAAAGGCAGGAAGGCTCCATATGGCTCTGAGCCCCAGGGATGTTGGAGCTGGTTTGTTGACTCTCCTGCTGAGCTCAGCCTTGGCAGGTCCACAGAGTCTTGGTGTCCTGTGTTTTGTCTTGGAGTGGTGACTCCACACCAAATTGTCCCTCCGCTATTTCTTGGTGTTGCCAACAGATGGAGGTCTCTGGTCCAGAGACTTTTTTGGAACAGAAAGGGCATGGAGGGAGAATCCTGTTGATTTCTCAGGCCTCCAGGCCAAGAATGCATTCCCATCACCCGAAGGAGATTGTTCACTTGCTTTTATTTAAAAAATTTTTTTTTAGGAATGGATCCTTTAAAAAATAGTATTATCTACTCTTAAATATTCCCTTAGTTAGGGAAGTCTTTTGAATGTCTAACCGAAAATCCAAGCTTTAACCAAAGGCATTTTCCTGTTCACATATGGAGACACAAGACCAGCTTTTTACTTTATGACCTTTGCTTCCCATTGTAAAGGATCTGCCTTTTAAATTTGTTTTTTGTTATGTACAAACATTCCTGAGCTTCGTGATGGACAGGGCTTAATTGTGGGCTCAGGGATACCAGTAGGCCACTGGGGAGCAGGTGGGGAGCCCTTTCTATCGAAAGATGGAGGAAGTTGTTTATAACCAGATCTCTGAGAGTAAAATACTGACATTTGGAGGCTCTGGATGAAGGGTATATGGGAATTCTCTTGAAATTATTTCAACATAAGGTTTAGAATCAGTTTTATAAGAAATGATTTAAGTCTTCTTTGTTTGGCTTTTGAGAAGCCGATGAATGTGAGAGCAGAGCTGAGCTTGCTGATTGCCCTTTCCATGCAGCTTCCTGGGCATGGAGAGACTCTCACTCTCCCCCGAGGGCCTGGCCAGACCATGTTCCCTTGCTGGGAACTGGGAGGTGTCACTGCTAGAATTACAAGGCCAGAGAGGGTCCACCAAAGAAAGAAGAGGGGGGCCCTGGAGCCTGGAGGGCAAGGAGCATGGATGCTCCTGGGGCCAGTGGGGCAGAACCACGAGAGTGCTGAGAAAGGAGCCCTTTCTGGGGCACATGACAAAGGACCCTATGATCTCCAGAACCTGCTGCACCAGGAGTTGTTGGCTCTTGGGCCACTTTACCTCGGCATAGCTTGTGAAACTACTTTCATCCTTCCTTTCCCATCACAGCATTGGAGTGAAGCAAGATGAGCCCTTGTATCCTCATTATACAGAGAGATAGTGGGGCCTAGGAAGGGGAGAGGCCATTGGCTTAGGGACACATCTTGCAAATGGCAAAGCCAGAACTTGAATCTAGTGGCCTTCTTTCTGAAGAGTACACTCCTTCACTGACATTTCGCTGTCTCTGTGGGAGCAGAATGGTGGCCTGGGCTAATGTCGGGGTAGGAATTGCACTTGGCATTTCCCTTGCATGGATATCCGGCCTGTGTGTTTTGCCTCGGTTTCGGTGTCCCCAAATTCCCCAAATTTTAATGGTTCCCCCTAGCCTGCCTGTCATGGACTGTTCTTGCAGTGGTGGGGCCAGCTGTGTCTGGCCAATCTGGATAGAGGCTTAGTTGGGCCTCCTTGTGAATCAGAGACCATGATAGGCTTGACTTTGGGCACAAAAGGTTGATGCCTTCTGCCAGCCTTGAAATGTTGACTCCGTACCAGAACTCCCAGAGACTTCCAGCCACACAGCAGTTCTGACCCACTTTTGTTTAGCTGAGCTGCAGGGGGCTTCGTCTGCAAATCTGCCAGCTTGCGCCTTGAGGGGAAATGAGCTCAATTAAGTAGGCAGGTCCCAGTGAGGCTTTTCTGCAATACCATTAATAACCACATGGAGCATGGAAAAAATATATAACCTCACTTCTCTCTGCCCCATTTTCATCTGTGTCGATGTTCAGGCTGGAGTATCACACAGAGGGATGCCTTTGCTACCAAATTAAGAGGCTAGTTTCCCTTCAGCCTGGATGTGCTGTCTTTCTCTCTGCCTCTCTGTCTGTCCCTTTCCCTCATGCCCACCCCCAGAGTGCCCAGGACTCCACTGTGAACTTCACAGATTGCCAGGGCTGTGGAAGGGCAGGAGCATATTGTAACTTCTGCTTTTTTTTTTTTTAACAGAGCAGCACTTTCCAGAGGTGATGCTGGGGGAAGAATTTCTTAGCCTAAGTCTGGACCAGGTGTGCAGCTTGATATCCAGTGACAAGCTGACAGTTTCTTCAGAAGAGAAGGTATGACACGACCCCTCGGTGAACCAGGATCCTCACACATGAGGCGGTCATGGGAGGGACAGTGAAACCTTTTCTCTTTCTCAGCAGGAAAAAAAAGGAACTTATTTTTTGGCCCTTTAAATAATTAGGAAAGGACCTTCTGGCTCGTGATCACTACATTTACTGTTTGGACACTTTGAGGAGGGAATAACGCTGGTGATTATTATTGTGACAAAGCTGCCTCCATTAACCGGACATTTATAGTTTACCAAGTGCTCTGCTAAGAGCCTTGTTCTCTTTAGTTCCCTCAGCCTTCACCACAGCCCTGTGAAGCAGGCATTGGCCTTGTCTCCACATTGCAGATGAGGAAAACTAACTTGGAGGAGTTAATTAGCTTGTCTGTGGTCACTCAGCTGGTCACTGCAGAGTTGCAGTCTTCTTGTCCCCTGGTCTTAGCCACGGCTCCACATGGCCTCTTGGGAGCATCATTGGGCATTTAAGCCAGAGCTGACCTTTGGGACACATCTAGTGTAACGGGGGATTGGAACTTTTACTGTTGAGGAAACTAAGGCCCAGAGAAAGGATAGGATCTGTTGAAGGTCTCAACGTGAGTGACCGTGGCAAAATTAGAACCTGGGTCTATTGACAGCTAGTGACCTAACTCACTGACTACACACCACTTCCTTGGTGCGGCAGGCTTGATTTCTGCCCACTGCTTTGAGGGCTCATCTATCCCACCTCTAGGTCTTCCTTCTCACTGACCCTCTGCTTGGATCATTCTCCCCTTGCACTGTCACCTGGTTGAATTCCAAACCAGTTCCTGTTCCACTTCTACCAGGAAGAACTTCTTTACTCTAGGAGATGTAGTCTTCTATATTGAAAGTAACATACACTTTGGTGTTGGCCAGTAGGGTCCAAATCTTATCTCTAGTCTTTACAAATTAACTGGTGACCTTGGGTGAGGTAGTCTGCTTCTTCATCTGCTTCTCATGTATAAAGTGAGAAGGGTAATAGGACATATTTCATGGGGTGGTTATGGGGGTAAATAACATAAGGTGTGTCAAATGCCTGGTGTCGTACCTGGTAGGTCGTACTTGGCAGGGGCTCATTCGATGGTAGCTGAGTTTATGATTGACCGTGCATCTGGAATTTATTCCTTTCTCCTCTGTGTTCCAGGATAATACTCACCTTGTTCTGCTTTTTACTGCAGTTAGTTCTGAGCCCATCTTAGCTCCTCCACTCGACCATGAGTTCCCTGATGGTAGCAACCACATCTTACTCTTCCCCGCATCCTCAGAGATGCTCAATACATGTGTCATGGATTGTCTTAGTCCACTCATTATGTCCAAGCTTGAGGTCCTTTTCTGAGGAAATAATTTAAGTAGAAGCTCTTAAAAGAGACCTTGCATTACCAATGAGTGTCCACAGTCACATGTCCAGAGAATAGGGTGGCGTCACAAGCCCCCACCTGTTGTCCTGCAAAAGTTTGATCCAGAAGAAAAACATTTGTGGATTGGAATCCTGGGCTGCCCCAGGACTTCAGAGAGATTTCCAGAAGGTGGCTGGCACACCCAGCTGGACTATCCCTTAGGCTCAGTGAGGCTTCTACTTCCATTAACTGATGTGAGATATTGCCTGCAGGATAAAGGATGCCTCTAGCCAGGCCACAGCGTCTTCCTGCCCCAGCCCCAGCAGCAAAGACTCCCTCACTGCTTGCCAAGCCTGTTTAATGTCTTCTCTGGATCGTGCTACTAAATGGGCACAGCTTGAAGGAATGAACTAGTTAGTTGATCGACCATGTGGTAGTTGGTGCACTTGGCCAGTTTGGGGCCTGCTTGAGCGTGTCCTTCAGGTGTAGTCTGAGAAAATGTCAACAGCCATATAAGCAACAGGATTTGGATCACGTTGGAGGTATTTGGGTTGGGGGGGGACCCTTGCTACCTTTAAGTCCTGCAGGCCCATCCTGCTGTGAGATCACAGTAAGCTTTCCTCAGGTGAGGGCTTATCTGGGTTTGCTGTGTTGGGTTGGTGGAAGAGACAGGTTGTTAAGAGGGAGAGGCATTTTAGTGGCCTGGAAACCATTTGGGCTTTGGACTCAGGAAGACCTGTTTCCATGCTCCACTTGATGCCCACTGGCTCCTTGATTTTCAGAAGTCATTGGTCTCTTTGAACCTCGATTCTCTTAAATGTAAAGTGGGACTACTAAGAGTACCTCCCTTATGGAGTGAGGAGGATCACAGATACTGGGTATAAAAAATCAGATATGGTATTCAGCAGGTGCTAATAAATGGCAGCTATCATTGTAATTACCAGAGTCCTCTGTTTTGAGGCACCATTGACAGTTGTATCAGTGTTGCCATTGATAATGGTAAAAGAAGCCATGGAGTTAACTGCATCTTTCCAGAAACCAAGAAGCATGGCATTGAATCTACATGCTTAGAACATAGTCTGTAGTGCTCTCTTTCGTCCATATGCTTACATAGGAGTTGCTTGTTCTGTGTAATTAGAGTTTAGAGTAGAGGTATGTTTGTTTAAGATTTTATTTATTTATTTGAGAGAGAGAGTACGAGCGGGGTGTGGGGAGGGGAGGCAGAGGGAGAAGCAGGCACCCCACTGAGCAGAGAGCCAATGCGGGGCTCGATCCCAGGATCCTGGGATCCTGACCTGAGCTGAAGGCAGACGCTTAACTGACTGAGCCACCCAGGTGCCCCAAGAATAGAGGTATTTTCCACATCAATGAAGTTATATATTTGGTTCTCAGAAGTTATTTGTAACTTCAGAGTTATGTGGTATTTTTCATAAAGTAGATTACTGATGATCTTGATCCCTTTGGTACCTTTAAGGTTGGCAGTATAGTTCTTTTTTAATTTTAAGAGTTTTATTTTTCAGTGATCTCTGTACCCACACTTGAACTCACAACCCCGAGATCAAGAGACGCGTGCGCTACCGACGGAGTCAGCCGGGCACCTCTAAGGTTGACAGTATAATTTGGAGGTTTATCAAAGAACAGTGGGGTTTGGCCCATGTTTTCTATTTCTAGTTTTATTTCCCCTTAATTGATTACATATTGCTAGAAGTTAAATAGCTGGAAGCTTTTGGCAATTGGATGTTTGTTGTTTGAATGCTAGCTCTTGAGGCTTTGAAAATTCTTTGAGGTGTTCCGGGAGATTTCATGATTTCTACTTCCTTTAATTACATTTCATAATAGGTAATCTCTTGCATATACAATAGCCTTTTCTTTCACTATTGCATTGTAGTGAACTTAATGGAGTTTGAAGAAATGTAAGGGATCTTAATTTAAGCTAAAATTCAGCTGCATTTGATGTTAGCATTTGCTGGGTCATGCCCGCGTGGCTCAGTCGGTTAAGTGTCCAACCCCTGATCTCCGCTTGGGTCTCAATCTCAGACCCCATTCAAATCCCACCTCAGGCTCCATGCTGAGAGTGGAGCCTACCCTAAAAACAAAACAAAACAAAAAACAAAGTAAAAAAATGCTTCAAAAACAGTTGCAGAAAACAACTGCACTGGTAATCAAATAAACTGTATTGAGCTAAATCCATATTTGAACAATCAGCTATATTATGATTTACTTCTTTGCCTACAGCCCACAGATTTCTTTCTGCAGCCAGATTTCAGATATTAAAATGTGAAAAAACTATGCATCTTTGAATAGAGGAAATGTGGCATTTTAGTAATGAGGATTCTAAGTGGCTGTGGCTAGGCCCCAGGCAGTTTGCTGGTCAGGAGTTTGAAAAAGTAGAGGTTCCGTGGTTGAAGTGGCTGAGTTCCAATCCTGCCTCCACTGTTCTAACGGGGGAGTGACTTTGAGCAAGTTGTTTGTCTCCCACCAGAATGGGTGCACCTTATACAGTCAAGGATTTTCTCCATCTCAATGGTCACTGCCAGGGTGTTACTGGTATCAGGGTCACGGTAGACAAAAAACAAACACCATTTGTTGAATGAATGAGTAAGAGAACTTCTCTATATCTCAGTCTTCTCATCTGTAAAAGGGGGGCAATGATAGTAGAGTTGTTACAGAATTGTTCTGAGGATGAAATCAGATAACATGGGAAAAGTTCTTAGCCCAAAGAAAGTGTTCACTACTTTCTGCTTCACGATTACTGCTGCTGTTATTACTACCACTATCCTTCTCCTCCTCCTCCTCTTCCTGCTCACTGTTGACTGGGGGCATTTCTCAAGGGGAAGCTCTTCCCATACCCCGTGTTAGTCTAGGTGGTTGTACGACCCGGGGCTTGGTGCCTAGCTTGTACAGTGGGAGTAGCTCTTGCTCCCCAACATTCCCAGCTCTCTTGACCCTGTCTGGGCTTCTCCCAGGGCTCAGATACTGTTCTTCTTCTAGCATCACTTGCTGTTACCCATGCCTCTGTCCTCCAGTAGCCTCAAGCTCCTTGAGTGCTTCGAGGATGCCTTAGCCATCTTTGAGTCACAGCAGTGCCTGATAGAGAGACCCCGGCTGCCTCTGTGGAGCTGCTAAGCAGAACTGCCCTGAGGTAGTGAGGGGCAGGCTGGGGCCAGACACCGCCCCGAGCCAGCTGAGGTTATGTGAATAATTTTCACATTTTTCCAGAGAATAAGGACAAATGTGGGAACTAGAGGTCAGAGAAGGCATGGATCCCTGCCATTTTTTCTCCTGTTTTTCCTTCATGTAGTTTTGGTTTTAAAATTCCTGTTATTTGAGGGAAGACAAAAGGACCTGTTATTTGAGGGAAGACAAAAAGGTAGGAGTTACAAAATCATGATTTCTTTGGGTGGGACCCCTCCCTGCTGCTGCCCTACCTACCCCTCCCATCCCCCAGTACAGAGCAAAAGCACAAAGGAGTATGCCCTTCACAGTCACCTGTTCCTTCCACAGGGAGGTGTCTGGGCTCAGAGCTCAGCCTGTGGACAGGTAGTCTGTTTATTGTATTTGCCTTTGAGACCCAGAGTTCATCCCTCACCGTGGACAGCTTCTGGGACCCAGGTGCACGCAGGGTAAGCAGCCCTCCAGGGCAGACCCACTC